TTTTTGTCACATACTGTATATAGTATCAACTTGTTTAGGTAATAATAAAAAATATTTAGATAGATTGTTTATTTTTTTTTTAATATTAAGGTGAGACACTTCTCATGATCTTTATTGATAGAGTAAATATGAAATGTTACATGATCAATAGTCAGATATGAGATATATGGCTATACATATCGGTCTATCACCTATTGTAGTAGATATATTTCTAAAAAACCTGGAGCAGGAAAAAGAAGAAAGGAACTATCTACTAGAGAAAATAGGGATAAAATAAAAACAATTCGAACAAGATCGCTATTTTAGTATTGAAAAGAAAAAATTTGAAGAGAAAAATGAATGAGATGTTGAAACTTTTGTTAGATGTGGTTCCTGATATTTATAAATTCGGTTGGATTTCGGAATCGCACAAGCCACATATAACTCGAAGAGTTTGATCAGGTGATTTTGTTATGTAATGTTGTTATGTGATATGGTTGTGTTTTTGAGTTGATAGTGAGATAACTGGAATCCGTTTCAGATGTTTGTTGTGTGTTTTTTGATAGGTTGCTGTGGTTTTTTGTTTTTACTGGAACCTGCGCAGGGCACTGGTCACGCACTCTTCCAATCCAGTAAGTTGTTATGTTGTTTTGATATGATTTGGTGATATGGAGTGTGATTGGTGTTTTATGAGTTGTAGATCTTTTATAAGAGGTAAGCTGATTTCAGTTTTTTGTGTGAAAAAAATGTTGGCGAGAACTAATAGCTAGCCAGAAGATTATGACGAATCTAGCACTAGTTAACATCAGCAGAAAACAAAAACTCTGAAAAAATAAAATGCTGCCTCTTGAAAGTATAATTATATTTGATTTTGTATGTGTATATATAGTATGGTAGAGTAATAATAAATGTGAATGGGTAAAAAGATTTCCTTTATTTGAAGGTTGCTTATATAGGTTTCTTTCAATAAAGCAAAGGATTTATCGAATAGGTTTCTGCTATCTCCGAAGCGTCCACCTCTCTATAGAAAATTAATCGACCCCTGCACCCTACAGTAAACTAAGATGAACTCCTCTCCCAGGAAGAGGCTCTTGCTGACTATTTACTGTCTACCGTTCATAACGTTACCAAAAAAAGAAATTTTTTACGAATTGAAGTGTTGTGAGAAAGAGTTTTAGATAGATTGTTTATATAAAATTATATAATCATTATTGATTAATAAAAATCATACATGCATTGCATTTAGTTAAATAAATAAATATTTATTTATTATTTGTTTTTTAAAAAAAAAATATTTAATAATTTATAATTCAATAATAAATAATATTATTAGTTATTTGTTATAATAGTTATAGGATTTAAATTAAATCTTAATTTGAATAGGTTTTTTTTTAATTATATATTATTTTAAAACATATATTTTTACCGATTTTATAAAAAGGTTTGATATTTATTAATGAAAAAATTAAAATTATTAATTTTAAAAAATAATGTTTTTTTATTATAATTATTTCCAAATGGTTTTTGATAAAATATTGTATAAATAAAATAACTTTGACTTTATAAATTCATATGTAAAAATCATTAGAGTTTATTAATCAACCAATTGTTTAAATTATCGTTTAAAAATAATTTGATAAATATACCAATATTCTTAAATTATTATCAAGAATATATCCAATTTTATTTTTTAATTTAAGATATAAATATCTAAATATTTTATAAATTTTAAATTACATAGTGCTATAAGATGTAATACATCACATGCCATTATTTACGAAGAAAATAATGAGACAGGATTTGATTTTTTATAAAGCATCAAGTGTTTTGATATAGAAATAAAAAAACAAAGTGTAATTGTATTGAAAATAATAAATAATATTTAAAATATGTACTGAATTGTTTTTTTAGCCACCAAGAATGATGCTTTTTGAATGATCAAAACGAATAGGTTGTTTTAGCCTTGCTTCTCATTATTAACAAAATCAATCGATTAGAATTTGTACGACACTATTGCATCATATATGATACACTAATTATATTTTATTTTACAGTACGCTGTTGGAATTCAGTTCATATTATTTCGTCATCATCAGGAACATATTTACTTTCCTCCAAGTGATGTACATGATTAACCTTCGAACAAACATTATTCGAATTGCAAATTTCAATTCCCTTAAACCATTCATCCTCTAAAATGTCCTTTATTGTGGCACGTTTCCCCGGATTTATATCGAGTATTCGATGTAGTACTGGATATGATGCTTCTGGAATCTTCATTAACAAATGATCCGGATTTTTCATATATGCTTTGAAAGATACATCGGATTCCTTGGCCACCAACCAAGGGAACATACCCGTGCTCATGCAAACAAATATAACTCCAGCAGCCCAAATATCGGCAAGTCTGGGGTCGTAAGATTTGCAGCCGAATGCTTCTGGACATATGTATGGGTCCGAACCGTATGGCCCTAATAATTAATAGTAAAACGTTGAGCAACTTTGAGAAATGAAAGTGAAAAAGCGAAGAAATTTCGATATGAACCTTGAGAAAATATGATCTTGTTGTTAAAAGGGTATCGAAACACCGTTGAACAACCAAAATCAATTATTTTTACAATTCCATTCTCGTTTAAACATAAATTATCCAATTTGAGATCCCTGTGGAAAATTCCCATCTCGTGTAGATAATTTACGCCATTAATTATTTGTTTGAAAACACAAGCGATCTCTTCTTCACTCATTTTTTTGCTCATCACCGCCTCAAACAAATCATATGGAGCGAATTCCATTATCTCGTATAACTGATTGTTTTCTTGTATGATGTCCAACGTCTCGATGATATTTTCATGGTGAAGCGTTGAACCAATGCAAAATTCTGCAATAATTTTTTTATAATACGATCTTTCAGGTTCGTAAGGATTCCGCTTACAAAATTGTTTTACAGCAAAAGCCTTATCGTCAGTTAGACGATGAATTAGTCTCACCTTACCACCCTCACCAGAACCAAGAACCCTACCCCATCTACCATACTTCTCAATATTGACATTCTTAAGGTTCGAGTAACAAAATTTTCTTGATTTTGAATTTTTTGTAATCACGTGTTCCTTCAATTTCTTAAAGAATGATTTCTTTTTCATTCTACACC